ACCTACGGTAATGGCATTCGTCACCCCCCCTTTTTCCGTCCTGATTGAATTGTGGATGACCCCGATACCTGGCGGAGATATTTTCCGAGCTGATATTATATTAGGTGATAGCTGATATGATAACGGGAAATGGGCATAATGGACACCAGTGATGAGACAGAACCCGAGATTGAAAGGGGAGGTCACGGGAAGGTTGTAGGATGGTCAGACAGGTTAGCTGGATTGGCGACAGGCTGGCTCGATCTCTCCGCTCGGCTTTACAAATCCACGACTTCCCAATCAAGAACTGGACAGACGGCAGTCCATTTTTGATTTGGTTTGATGTCTTTGTAATGATGATAATTAGGACATGAGGTATGGGATCAGATTCCCACTGAGAGTCTGAGGTCAGGGTTTGTTTTGTAAAGGAAAATCTGCTTGGGGATTTCTGTTGTTTGAATATGCACTGGACTATGCAGAGATCATACTTTTAGTTTGATTTGTCATCTTCAGTTAATTTTGTTTGCTTGTAGCTTGAGTTTGAATTTTTAGATGTCATCATTATGATAGTATTGTTAATGCTATTTACAAAGCAACTGAGTCAAATTAACTGATTAAGAAAGGTGGCTGAAATCTATATAATTTGCTTTTATAAATCAGTGTGTGTCTTGACTCGAAAGGGAGGTTGACTCTCAGATGAAACTTTATAAACTTTATTCGTCCAGTGAGTGTTTTTTTTTTTTTTCAGATGAAGTTAGTCCTCTCAGCCAATCGTATAGTGAGAACTTAAATCCTTTCTAATTGGTTACTTATATCAACTGTGGGACCAATCAACCAGCAGAAGGCTCCTTAGCCAATGAGAGTCATTTCAGATTTAAAGTTTGGGCAGCCAATAGGAGGCCATGTTACATTTAAGAAGTACCTGCTGTGATCTGATTTGTTGCCTTGAATTGTACCGGCATTTGACAAGATCAGAGTTAACTAAATTATGGTGGTATCTTTTCAACAGCAAAACTGTCTCTTCTTAGTTCTGCCATAAACTTGACTGTATCGTGTGCATCTTTTAATTTAAGACCGTTTGAGAGCTTATGTAATAAGTTTGTCTCAGTTTGCAAAGTTAACCCAAAGCTCATATAACACTGTCACCTACTAGTTGATGTACTGAAAAAAAATCAGTGGATTTCACCGAACAATTAAGTGCAACTGGCTTCTGACAGCAATGACCAACTACCTCACACTTATCACAGCCTCTAAAACTGCTCCGTGGTCCATCACAACTCTAAGCCCGCTACTCCAGGGTACAGATGTAATAAAAAACTTACATATTGCAATTTGGGACTTCAACAAACCCGGCGTGTTCGGTACATACATTTCGCTGATAGCTTCATTCATGGTTGACCCACAAACCATATTGTGGTGGGGAGATACCACGGTTTGTCCGTGACCCCTGCCAGCGCGCTACTTTCCTGCCACCGCCGGGACTTGCGGAAGACCATAACAGTAACTCATGGCGGTACAGATAGGGTAATAGCGGGGCGGAATCTCTGCCATCTACCCTTTAAGTGGGCAGCCGAGGGAACGGCGCGCGGGCGAAGCACAGACCCCGCTGCGTGACGGGGTCAGCGGGTCCTGCCTACGGAGTTCCACCCATCTTTCTTACCGTAATCAACTTTCCAGACAGGATTCTGGAGCGCCTGCACAACTTTCCACCATTCCTTCCCACTTTTAGCCTCGGCTTTAGTCGTGAAAACTCTTTGAAAATTTGAAAATTATCTTGTGGCACAGTAATCGACTTTCAAGACAGGATTTTGACTTTCAAGACAGGATTGTTTAGTGCAAGCAGAACTCGCCACACTTACTTTGTCTTTTAACCCCTGCTTTAAGTTTTAAGTCATTATATATTTGACCATGGAAAATATTTGGATATTCTGTTGTAATTATCATGTGGTACAGTAATCAACTTTCAACATAGGATTCAACATAGCACCAGTGCAAGCATATTTCTTGCCACAAGTCCAGTTTTTTTAACTCCTACTTCTGATAATGTTCGACCATGAAATCTATTTGGATATCTCTGTTGTAATTATCTTGTGGCACAGAAATTGACTTTCCGGACAGGATTCTTTCGTGAGAGCACAACTTGCCACAAGTTTGGTTTGTGTAACTTCTGCTTTAGTCATGTTCAACCATGAAAAGTATCTGGATATTCTATAATATTGTAATTTCATGTATCTTGTGGTATAGTAATCAACTTTTGAGACAGGATTCTTTATCATTTTCATAATGATAAAGAATTTTTGCACAGTTTTGCACAATTTCTTCCTAGTTTTAAACCTCAGTGCTGGGCATTATATTTCACCATAAAAACTTTGGATTGTCTGTTATAATTATCTTGTGGTGCAGTCATTAACATTTTAGGGCAAGCACAACTTTCCACAATTTCATTCCTATTTTTCAACCTTAGATTCACCATGATATGCTTTTGGATACGTTATAATTTTAACACCTTGTGTTATTCATTTAGGAGAGTAGTTTTGACAGACCAGTGTCCGCAGCACAAAACTGGACATGGCATTTTCCTAGTGTTATCAGTCCTAAGCCAAACCTCCCATGCCACCCATGCAAAACCTCAGAGCTCTCCTTGATGAATGAGAAAACCGTGGCCAGCCAAAGATATGTTTGGTGGCCACGCACCGCAACAAAGCTCCGACCAGCCAGAACATCAACGCCGAGACTCCGGGCGCTAAAGACTCCCAGTTTGTGGCTTTAGAGTGGAAATTTGGCACAATAAGAGGTGACGAATGAGACAGTTATGGCGTGAGGCTGATAACACGCGGGTCGGTGTGTTCTAGCGGCTGGACAAAGCTCTGGAGTGGACAACAAGCTCCTGTGGGCATCAGCGCTGCACCAGGCAGGTGTGGGGATGAGCGGCGAGGTTTTGCTTAGCTTGTCGGCTTCTGAGACGGGAAAACTGGGCGGCGATAGAGCCGTGCTATGTGTCTTCTTGTTCTCGACGTGTTATATGTTGTTGGCCTGAGTGTGATGAAACTGCACACGGCAGTATACCCTGGAAACATGCTGTCATAAACTCTCCCTACGCAACTGGACTATGTATGGATCATACTTTTAGTTTATGTTTTGTCATCTTCAGTAAGTTTTGTTTGCTTGTAGCTTGATTTATTACAGTGTTGTTAATGTTATTTACAAAGTAAACTACGTCCTCAAAACATGCGGTCATAAACTCTAACTATACACAACGGTGGGAACAAGGAAAAAGGGGGAAACACAGGGAGCCGACAAAAATTCCTCTGCAAATCTCCCTAAAATCCCCCGTTAACCTGTCCATTTATCCTACCCAAACAAACACGCCTCCCCTTATATCTCCAGGACTTTCCAATGTTGTTACAAGTGTAACAAACAGATCCATTGTCAAAACAAACATCGGTGTGGCCCCGGCTCTGATGTCTTTGTCTGGCCCGGCCGCGGTGCTGAGCCTTGGTCACGAAACGTCCCTATCATCTCATTTCTCCTCCAGCCGGCTATCTTGTCAACACCAAAGGGTGACATTAGCTCTGACATATGTAACCCTACTGTGGGCTCTCGTCATGTTAAGCCCTTTGAGTACCCTTATCACATAACCCCATGTGCTGGGAGAGGACTACAGAGGAAAGGATGGTCCGCTGAGCAATTTTATGCCGCTCCGCAAAGTTGTCATTGTCTCAGACCACCTGCTCAGAGACACAGGTTGGCTTGCTTACATGATCGGCTATTTTCACAGGATTAGGGAAAATCCAGGATGCGTCCAAACTCTCCACACTTTTCCCATGGACTGTGTGTCATCCCTAGTTCACATAGACTGGTGTTTAGACACATGGTACTGAAATAATGAGTCCTGTTTGTTGTATTTAAGAGTTCGGTAAAACAGGATCAACACATGATCCACAGATGTGGAACGCCTATGATGACTTAATTGCCCTCATACAATTTAAATGCATAAACACAATAAAGCGACCACAAACACTACTTCACCCTATGATAGTGTATGTAAGAAATGTAACAATGTCCATGTGGTCCTTATTCTAAGGTGGTCACCAGTAAAAGTTTGACTGTGCATTAAAACTGTTGTTGAAGCTGGAAGACGATAGTAAAAACATGTCAGAAAATAAACAATTGAATCTATGTCCCAAACCCCATAACAAGATATGGAAGCTTTCTCATTTCTGCAAATATATAGAGATTTTATTTTGTTTTTATTCATTATTGTGAATTCCACATCTATTCTGTGCATACATGTATTTAACTGTCACTTCCTCATTTTGTTACCATTTTGACCTCCAATTTGACCTTCCTGTCAGTCTACAGTTACACCATTTCCTGTTAGTCTATTGTATTCAAATAACTATGTAAACACAAGCAAACAAATAGACAAATACCCTAAAACTATTGCTCATCTCCAGGAATAGTTTCATCATGAGTTGGTAAATCACTGAATAAAAGGAGTTGCACAACCAAGTCATTTTATTCAGCTGACGTTTCTGAGACCGTCTGTCACCTTCCTCAGGGCAGTTCTCTGACTGGTTCACATTGCACAGCACAGGTGTTGCTGCTATAGATGCATTCCCAACACAAAATATTTACATAATAATATTATATACAGTTACAGGGAACGATATCTACAACGTAGTCCCAAATGCACAGATGTCTACAAAATTGTTGTCAAGTTAAAAACAGTAAGAAGTAACAGTCTACTTCTAAGAATATGGTTACAAACATGACTGAGTCTATATCACCCTTCATCACAGTTCATCTTTATTTCTCATATTTTCACATTGTACCAAGTGTAATTGTCATGCAATAAAGTTCTTCTATTTTCACAGATGATTCAAGCCATTGCCAACTATCGCAAGTCCCAAATGTACAGGAGTGTGGTATATTATACATTGTTGTCAGGAAAAAAAATAAAACAATTAACAACAATTAAAACCAACACCTCGTCATGTTTATTTCTCGTGTTTTTCCAGATGATTCAAGCCATCGCCAACTATCGCCAGGGTCACACCGGTCAGCTGTCAGCCATCACGGTGTTCCTCCTGACGCTGGGGTCCGTGGCACGAATCTTCACGTCGTACCAGGAGACCGGCGACTCTCTCCTCATCATGACCTACGTCGTATCCTCAGCTGCCAACGCGCTGATAGCTTTACAGATGGTCTGGTACTGGAACGTATCCCAGAAGCCCAAAGCAGAGTGACCTCTGACCTATCGCGGATTGTCCTGGAAAGTTTCCCAACAGAAATCATTGACCAGAAGAAAATATTTTCCAGTTTTCCAATGTTTTATTCTCACTTTTCTAGAAACTTTCTCAATACAACAATCCTAATTTTGAGACTTTACAATGGACAATGACACTTGTGTCAGGTGAAGGTTTGTAGTTTCACTCATCAAAATTAGATAATTTCTTATAAGATGGAAACTGTCAAATTATCCTCCTGTGAATAGCTATTTTAAAAACAGAACCAAACTTGGATAGGTTTTTTTCTCTGAAATTGAAAATGTCATTGAGGCTCTTTCAAAGCTTGAAATATTTTAGTGTTTCTCATTCTTCTCAAATGGCCTAAAATTTCCCTCATTCTTGTGGATTCCTAGGTGTTCATTTGATTTTTAGACTTTTGACTTTTATAGCAAACTTTCAGTAACTGTATCTTCTACGATCAATGAATGAATTTCACACACGCATTGGTCACTTACCAGCAGTCGGACAGTTTCTGTTTGTCAAAGAGAAACAAACAAACAAAAAAACATAATATTAATAATGTAGACAACATTTCATTTGAGATGAAGGCATCTATTTTAAAGCAGTAACTAAGGAAAGTTTTTGTTTTCTCCAGTGAAAAGATGATTACTTGGCACTTTCTCCTTTAGTCCTATTAATCTGAAAACTTTGAAAATGATTCCTGTGGCAAGAATGTAACTTGTGACAATGAGATTGCAGAAATATTTCTGTTATCGATGATGGTATAGTTAAGACATTGTTATGACAAGTATTTTCTCGAGAATTCATTGATCAAAATATATTTGTATAGTTAGATTACTAAGTGCCAGATTGTATGGTGAACAATTTAACTTAATTCGTAGAATTGACCATGTTTTAACTCAGGGCACATGTCAAAGGTAACATACTGAAAATGAAAATGTTAATTGTGTCATAAGTCAGTGAACATGTGGTGTGTATATACCACATTTTTAGATAGTTACTTAATTGATTAAGCTTTAAAGATTTACCTGAATTGACTTGAAACCTTTGCTTGCTTGTTTGTTTGTTTGTTTATTCTATGCCTTGATAGCTTGTGTTTAGATATAGCGACCAAAAACGAACCTTTGGAAGGTTATGGATGATCAACCCTAATTCGTAGGTGTTACTGAAATTTCATGTTCAAATCCTGGCCGAGTCATACCAAAGACTTTTAAAATGGTACATACTGCCCAGTACCTAGCACTTATGAGAAAGAGTCTGTAAGTCGAACGCATACCACTACTATTAGACCAACCCCCTGCTGTAGTGGTTTCATAGCTGTGTGGCCTAAGGGCTATACAGAAAGAGGTAGGTACAGACCAATGCACCAAAAGGTGTGGAAAAGATTTTAACTCTACTTGCGATACATGGTAAGTTTGGCAAAACAGCGTATACGTAACGTCCATCCTTTATGTCCTACATGTATATGATATTATATAAAACGTGGAAGTTACTTCATACTGAAAACTTACATAGCCATGAAACGATTTTAACACTATCTAGAATGAAATCTTTGACATTTTCTGTAAGATAGACCCTTTTCGGTGGTATTTGGTCAGAACTAAGTCAAAAATACTCCGAAACTTACCTAGTGGCTTTTCAAAGAACCGTCAAGCGTTAGACTTTTCCAGGTTTCCCTGCCAATATTGTAACCCCGAAATCTCGAGAGAAAATCGCGATGCTAAACTCTTCAACACCTCGTAGGTGAGGTTTAGAACAGTACATCAAGTACGCACCTGGGAGCAGACCTAGGGATCGTGCGATTGATGTTCTCTTTCTGCGACCAGACCAGGTTTTTAAACGTACGACTTCTACAAGATCCTTCCTTTCTAGCCTCCCCTGCCAAAATTTACGGTCTCCTTACACTTCTTAACGTCCCTCGGACAAAAGTTTCTCCCTCGGATGATGAAGTGCTCAAAGTTTCCTAACGCTGATAGCCGGAGGAAGATGCATCATCCTTTAGAATCAACCACTATTTGTATCTCGCCTTTTGAAAACCAGCTTTCCATAAGGTACGGTGTTACAAAAGCTCACTTTATCTTTTCGCCTCGTCCTTTTCTGTAGCGGAAAAGTGGCTTGGTTATAGACTCCCATTCCCAGTGCCCTCAGGGCAGCGCGTATCTCCCTTAACAAATAGGATCAATAGATTTTTGACAGAAACATCGCTTTAAATCTCTCTCGCGCGGGTAACAAACCATTGAGGGAGCCGGCGACGCAAGGTGGTTGCTGATGTTTCAATTTAGAGAGCACATCATTGGTCTTTCAGCGGCCTCCGCCGCCTTGATGTACGTTCAGATCAAGCCGCGAACGGGCACATCTCGGAGCGAGATCGGATGATGAAGTAGCTCACAGCGGGATAAATCTCTCTTATCGCCGATGACAGGTTCGGGAGCCCGGGGAAGATTACAAGCGGTGAAACTGAATTACGGCGTATGTGTGACCATGTATCTTCATTTCATAAACAAGTCATTGCCGCACTTTGCCGCAAATCTGGGCACAGAAAAAATCGAGAACGCGCTCGCGGTCCGATGACACGTCGGTACATGATTTAACGTTCTCCTCTTTCCATCAATCAATTTGTTTTCACAACTTTTCATAATGTAAAATAATCATGACATTTTATTCTATTCGTAGTAGTTTAAACTTTACATTATTCAAGACCAGCGACGAAAGTAATTTTGCTTGGGATCATAATAATTAGCACTTTCAAAATTTTGTGAGATTTATTTTACGAAATACATCGCAAAATTGTCCAGAAATTGTCCTGTTGCATATTTCCCATGTTCCACATACAATATTTCTTTCTAGTATGTTTTGGTTCATTCGGCATCGCAAAATTGCTCATTCTAATTTCGTTACCTTAAGCCTTAAAATGATACAGCATAATTGAAAAGTTACATAAAAGAAGATTAGCTGCGTAGATTATGGTATGATTATATTCTAAATCAGATTCAGAATTTTTGGTATGAGAAATAAAAGATCAGTAGTACAGATTTTTTGTGTGTAAATTATGACACCGGAATATCAGTTGCTTTTCTATTACTGTATACACAATTGATTTCTTTGTTAAGAACAGAAACAGGGGTACATAAAAATGGCAACAATCGCTATATTTCTTACATTTCTGAAATACGATGCGAACGTTGACTTCGACGTATGAAATTAATTTCAGCATTTTAAGTTTTTTTTTACTTGCATTAGCATTTTTTGCATCTAACGCTCTTACACATTCTTCGATTGATATATTTTTCTCACATATTCGGTTATATATTTGTTTTACTATTTTTCGTGCGGTATGGCAGTTTGCCTTGACATGTGCAATTAGCATTTTACTTATTTCTGTGTTTGTTTGTTTGTTTGTTACATGTTGCTCACTATTTGATGGATATATATTTTTCTCACATATGTATCCATTTGTTGCTTTTTACTTTGTCTTGCAAAATTGCAATACGAACGCTGGCTTTGTTGTTAGATCTGGCACGCTGGGTGTGACACATTGTTTTAATATATTTATTTTTGTCTTATATCCATCCATACATTCTTTTCTATGTTGTTCTTCTTTTTCGTGGTATGAATGTTTGTTTTCATGATTATTTTTTCCATAGATTATTTTCGGCGTACTTGATGTTTAAATCCTACGCTCTAGTTGTTGTAAATTGTTTTACTTTTGTCTTATATTTGTCAATATGTTCTTTTCTATCTTGGTTATATTAATACTTTTGTGGTATGAACGTTTGTTTTGGTGATCGCAATGGATTTAAGCGTTTTTAGACTTTATTGTGATAGTTACATGTAAGTCTTAAGCTCGACATTTTTTTTTCATATTTAAAATTCTTTGTTCTCTTTACTACACATGGTCGTTACAGTTGACATATGTCAGTACATTGTTTTATTTGTCTTCACCTTATTCACATGTATATTCTTTCCTATGTTCATTTCTGTGTTCTTTTTACTATTTCTTGTACGCTCAATGTTTGCCGTACATTGTTGGTCGCATTTTTCCTGAAATATCCACCCATATGTTGTATGTTTTTTTACTTATTTTTCACGTACGCTTAGAAGATATTCATCCGTATATTCTTTTTTTCATATTCATTCCTGGGTTCTTTTTACCATTTCTTCTACGCTCCTTGTTTGACGCAGATTTTTTCTCATATATCCGTCCATATGTTATTTTCTATGTTGTTTTTACTTATTTTTTCGTGGTGAAACACACGTACGCTTAGCAGAAAAGACTCCCCTGAGGCCATTCTACTATCACCAATTACCACATGCGACACCGGTGCGGATTGAATGGGACACTGCTCAAATTAAACTGTCTGCGGCCCGGGCCGGCGCAACGAGAATTAGATCAGATTTAATTTCATTACGATGTTTAATGTCGCTGAGACCGGGAGCCTAGAGGGACTGTAGCGGACAGGCAGGGTAGGAGAGGCCGTCTGGTGTTCTATACAGGCCGCGGCACCTCAACGTAGTAATCAAATTAAACCTACTACTGACTAGGCGAGGGTAGAACCCTCTAGTTCGCCTTTTCTCCGAGTCACGGGTTCAGAACCCACTGGGAAGAAAATTAACTCAACGGACTAATTGCCTTCTAGAAATTTCGTTGATTTTCGTACGATGACGCACGTATATATGAATAAACTTTATGTACGTAACAGTTGTACAAAGTATACGGCAACTTATGGCTGGAGATTAACTTTTTTTCTGATTATTAGAAAGCTTTTTCATATCTACATGGCGACGATTCTAAAAGACTAGTGTATCTTACAGGCTAGAAGGAAACCTTTGTCATGGAACTTTTCATTCAGTTATCGCGAATTTTGAAGTTGAGAGTAACTTTGTGCTTCAAAACAGCTTTTCTCATACAGGGCGACCGTGTATAACATCTTTGTTAAAGTTTTTATTTTGATATCCAGTTTTTTTTTCAGTAAAAGTACACTTTATGCAACCACAGACGGATTTTGCATCATCATTTTTCTGCAGCTGTATAATTTGTTTTTTAGTCTGGTTCTGTCTCAGGTTTCTATTCACCTGATCTTGCGTCCGGTCTTTTCATCCAGTCCCACGTAACCGTCCCTTAACAAGGACCCTCAGAAAAGACCATTAGTGACAGAGACTACTGATCTAAAACTGAAATGCCTTGAATCCCTAACAAGCTCCATCCCTTCAGTCATAATGATCTCTGATATCCTGTCAAACTTTCATCATTTTTTCTGATAGCCTTTAGACTCCTCATTTAAACAACTGGACAAAACCATCTCCAGTTTCTTTCTGGTTAATCACCATCTTCTAGTTGAAATAATTACTACCCCTCAGTAGACACGTGGATCAGGAAGATGTGGTGGATTTCTTTTTTGATAGCTATTTAGTCGTTAACTATCCATGGGCTACTTGAAAAGAACGTGGTATGTACGGTGGTTGAAGAGACGTCATGGAATGAAACGTTTGAATGCAACCCGACGGAAAGAAGACGGTATTGTTGTCTGGTTGGGTACGTCCTTGGTGCTGAAAAACTTTCACAGCGTGTACGCGTTGCCTGCAATGTCAGCGTATCTAGCATCTACCAGGCTTCGGGAGGCGGCTGGAAAGAGTAGAAATCGGACAAACAGAGAGATAACAAGCCAGAGGAGTTGGTCCGCTAGAGAGTACAGTTATTTTCGTGTGCGGCAAACTGTACTCTAGCTGACCAACTCCACTGAGTTATCTCTCTATTTGGCCGATTTCTACTCTTTCCAGCCGCCTCCCGAAGCCTGGTAGAGGCTAAGCTTATCTCCAAACAGAACTTTTGGTGGCTGCAAGACAGTATCAACTCGGCCAGACAGTTACCATTTCTTAGGCTGGTNTAAAGATAACCAGTACAAAAAAGNGAGCCCGCTACAAACACGTAAAAAAACAAGCCGAAACCTACACCTCTGCTTGCAGAGTAGTGACAGCTCGCTCAATGGCATTGCCCCCCGTTGAACGTTTTAAGAGTTTAAACAACAAAACTTTGGTCAATTCAT